TTACTGACCACAATCGGGACCGGCAACTCCATTGCTAAGTGAAACAGTCATAAAGTGAAAAATAACATGACCGGCTTACAATGGTAGTTTCTCAGTTCCAGCTGTGGTCATTAAGCAAATCACCCATGATCGTTAAGCGTGATGTCACATGACGACTTGCTATCTCCTGTCAGCTTCCCCAATGACTTTTCTTGTCAGAAGCTGACTGTGAAGGTCGCAAATGGCGAGCCCATGACAGCAGGATGCTGCGACCATCCTAAATGCTCACCAGTTACCAACTGCCCGAATCGTGATCACGTGACTGTGGGGGCGCCACGACGCCTGCAACTTCCAGGACAGGTCGTAAGTCTCCTTATTCATCTCTGTTAACTTTGAACGGTCGCTGAACAAATGGTCAGTAAGCGAGGACTACCTGTATATATTTATGGTTAAAATATTGAATTACAAAAAAGGTAGAAAAAAGCAAATACTGAACTAGAAAGAAAGTTTTAAAAAGGAAGAAATGAAAATGATACCAAAAAAAGACTGCTACATTTAAATAAAAAAGTAACATAGTGAAAAAACAAAATTGCATCCTCCCACTCCCTTCCATTCGCATCCCCAACCATGAGCCACAGTTTAGATATTTGAACTTTGAATCAAACATTAATAATTTCTGAGTCCTTAAAAAACATGTTCCAGATATTGAAACCTGCCTGGTTCTGTGATCCATTGCCTGTACTATCTGTATTAAAACAACACTTTTCTACAGGGTCCATGAGGACACCAAGCTGCTGTTGTCTATACTCCGGTGCAACCTGAATATGCAAGAGTGGAAAATGTTGGTAGCTCAGGGCTGAGTTGTTGGCTGGTGTCCTCTGAGCTGGCTTGTCTTTCTGCAGACGTTCCATCACCAGGATAGGTAACATCATCAGTGCACGGAGGAGTGAAGTTTGCTGGCTGTTTATATTATGTACTTTGTCCTACCACCTTAATTGGGGTGTGGATTCTTCCTCATCACCCACCTAAGCAACACCCAGAAAACAGGAACAAGCATGGAAGAAACAATGTCCCATTTCAGGGGTGTCCACTGTAATGGTCTGTGGGAATGACCTTGGGAGACAGGGGGAAGAGCTGCAGACTGGACAACCGGTGTGTAAAAGATGTCTCAGAAGGAAAAGGGGTGTGGGAAGTGCTTCAGAAGGGATCTTCCTAGTTTTCCGGGGAGTAAAAGGAAAGGAGGGGAGAAATCCCTTCAGACTTGCAAGATTGTTAATGTAACCTTACAATAAAGTAGTCCAGACAAGAAGTACAGCAATGAATATTATTTGTCTGGACTGCCTCGAAGGGCTGACACTACTGAGGGGTTAAAAGATTACAAAACATGTAAAAAGAGGGAAGGGCTTTAATCGCACAGTTGCAGTGACCATCTTGACTTTTTTGACCTCCCTGTGGATGTCCCTGTCCCACTGAAAGGGCAGTTGAGGAAGAACATCTGGACAGTTAACCCTTCAGCTCCCATCAATCATAGAGGATGTCTGGCCATGGGTTGGGCTGTTGGGGTCTACAGTCTCATCAATCTAAATGAGAGCTCCAGATTAGAGCATCATGATGGGCCAGGTGAGCACTGGGGATGAATGAGAAGTTTCAAGGTAGAGGGGTTTCCTACCCTTCCTTGGAATTGCTGCCAGTCCAGAAAATGTTCTGCCCCCCCAGGGATCATCCCGCACGTCTCTTCCCCCAGCATTTGGCAACTGCAAAAGTCAGACTCCATCTTTATTTGCTACTATGAATTTTGACATGGTTTGTATGGAAACAGCAGCCAAGCGTTCTGGACCAATTTTGGGTGTGTGTGTGTGCGCAAAGCACACCCATCCTGCGCCGTGCCACACCCTTGCAACTGGCTGTTCTTCTGTGCAACACTGACGGTTCAAAGAAAGCCAGGGTAGACGTGCAGGTACAAATCTCCCCTAGGGCCACAGGAAGCAAGTTGAAGCATATCGCCAAAGCCAGCTTCCCAACCGTTGAAACCAAGGTTGGGGAAGGTCTGGCAATGCCAGCTGCAAAAACCAGCTGCTTTCAGGCTTCCTCGACAGGCGGGGTCACTGAAGGATAAAACCTACTGTACTCCAAACAGGAGCGGTAACAAGCTTTTGCTTTTTAAGCATATTTCTTTTAATCTATTTTTAGAGAAAGGCAACAGAGGAATTTGTTGTGGCTCTGTCTTGGAAAAAACATCCTGCTTTCAACCACCCCCCCTTAAAAAAAAAAAAAACCTGGCAGCAGATAGATTTCTTTTGAGGCCCCAATTTGGCTACAAACTGGATTCTCCAGTTGAGCGTAGCTACTGGCAAACGCTGTTGCATAGGGCTTCTGATTTTTAGTCCTCTCCTGTGAACCAGACCTTTCATTTCCATAATTATACGTTTGGGGGGAGTAATTGCACTCATACAAGAGGATCACAGAGCATTTAACTTATTCCCCAATCGGAGAAATTACGCTCATGCTATAATTTCCTTTCTGCAAGCAACATTTGCCAAGAAGCATTTGGAGAGTCATTAAAAGCAAGGAAGCGCCTGATTATTGGGGGAATGTCAAAGGAGACCACCAGACATTAATTCTGGGGGAGGGGAAGGCATGGTTCTCCCTTTCATCGAATCACAGAACTGCAGAATTGGAAGGGAGCCAGCATGCTGGCTGGGGAATTCTGGGAGTTGAAGTCCACACACCTTAAAGGCTCTGAGATTGAGAAACACTGCTCCACTTCAACCCTCTGCAGTGCGCAGGAAAACCAATTCAACCGTCAGTCCAGGGTCTCTTCGAGAACCTCCGGAAATGGAGAACCCGCAACCTCCCTAGGTAGTTTGTTCTACTGTTGCATAGATGTGATCGTCATGAAATTTTTGCTGACAGGGATTAATTATGTGCCATCAGGTCAGTGTTGACTTTTAGCGACCACGTAGATCAGGGTTCCTCAACCTTGGCAACTTTAAGACGGGTGGACTTCAACACCCAGGATTCC